GAGTTTGTGAGGTTGGTTGAGTTGATAAAGCAGGTTATTGCAATTTGATTAAGTGAGTTAAGTTGTTGAAGTTTAGTTGGTGAAATGTGTTTATTTGATTGAATGAAGTGAGTTGAGTTGATGAGAGAGTTGGTGCAAGGAGTTTAGGGGATTTCTTGAAGTGACTTGAGTTGGTGAGATGGGTTGGTTCGGTGCAATTAGTTGATGTGATTTGATTACATGAGGTTAAAAGAATTGGGTTTGGTGCGGAGAGTTGATGTGATATATGATGAAGTGAGATGATTTGGGATGATAAGTTGGTGTGGTGTGTTGATGTGATTTGATAGATTGAGTTGAGTTGGGAACTGAAGTAAGTTGAGTTGGGGATGTGAGTTGTGATGGTGCGAAGTGTTGATTTGAATTGATAGTCAGTGGAGTTGGGATGATGAGTTTAGTTTGTGTGGTGAGTTAATATGATGAAGTGAATTGACTTGGGGAGGTAATCTCGGTTCGTGCTATTGGTTGATGCGATTTGATGTGATTTAAGTTGGTATGGTGAGTTAAGTTATGCTGGTGAGATGAGTTCAGTTGACTGAATTAATTTGAATAGGTGAGGCGGAGTTGAGTTGAGTTGGTGAGGTATGTTGATATTATCTGATGAAGTGAATTGAGTTGGCGAGGTTGGTTGATGCGATTTCATGAATTGACATGGGTTGGTGAGATGAGTAGAGTTGGTAAGATGTGTTGATGCGATTTTATGAATTGAGTTAAGCTTGTGAGGTGAGTTGTTGCGAATTGAAGAATTTATTTGAATTGAAGATGTGAGGTGAGTTGGTATGATGCATTGAGATGATTTGATGAATTGATTTAAGTTGTAAAGGTGGATTGATGTGATTTGATAAAGTGATTTAAGTTGTTGAGATGGGTTGATGTGATTTGTAGATGTGATTTAAGTTGTGAAGATGGATTGATGTGATTTGATGAATTGAGTTTAGTTCGTGAGGTGAGTTGATGCCATTTGATAAATTGGGGTTTTGAGATGAGTTGAGTTTGTGAGGTGAGTTGATGTGATTTAATGAAGTGAGTTAAGTTTGTGAGGTGGGTTCAGTTGTTGACGTGGGTTGTTGCACGAGTTGGTTTTGGTGCGGTGAGTTGATGTGATATTTGATGAAGTGAGATGAGTTGAGGTTGTGCGGTAAATTAGTGTGACTTGATGAAGTGAGTCGACTAAGGGCGATAAGTTTTGAGTTGGTGCGTTGACTTGATGTAATTTGATGGAGTTAAGTTGGGGAGATTAGTTATGTGATGATTTGATTTGATCAAGAGAGTTTACATGGTGCTGTAAATTGATGCGATTTGATGAAGTGAGTTAAGCTGGTGAGGTGAGTTGAATTGTTGCGGTAAGTTGATGTGATTTGATCAAGTGATTTAATTTGGGGAGGTGAGTTGTGTTGGTAAGGTGAATTGATTGGATTTCATCAAGTGAGTTGAGTTGGGGAGTTGAGTTGTGTTAATTGAGTGAGTTAAGATTCGAAAGTGAGTTGGGTTGGTGCGGTTAGTTGATGTGATTTGATGAAGTGAGTTGAGTTTGGGAGATGACTTGAGTTGGTGCGGTGAGTTGATGTGATTTGATGAAATAAGTTAAATCGGGGAGGTGAGTTGAGATGTTGCAGTGAATTGATTTTATTATGTGAAGTGAGTTGAGTTGCGAAGCTGAGTTAGGTTAATGAAATTAGTGAAGATTACAAGGTGTGGTGGGTTGGTGCAGCACGTTCATGGGATTTGATGAGGTGAGTTTACTTGGCGAGATAATTTTAGTTTGTGTGGTAAGTTGATGTTATATGATGTGAGTTGAGTTGGTTCGATAAGTTGAGTTTATGCGGTTGGTTAATGCAATTTGATTAAATAACTTGAGTTGATTGGTGTATATGATTTGATTAAATGAGTTGAGATGGGGAGGTCTGTTGAATGCGTGCGATGGATTGATGCTATTTGTTGAATTGAGTTGAGTTGGTGAAGTAGGTTGATTTGATTTCACTAAATGAGTCGAGGAGGTGCAGTAGGAGGTTTATGTGATTTGATGAAGAAAACTGAGTTGGTAAGTTGAGTTGATGAGGTGAGTAGATGTGATTTCATGAAGTGAATTGAGATTTTGATTGGAGTTGAGTTGGTCTGCTGAGTTGAGTTGGTGTGGTGTGGTGGGTATATTTGTTTTGCTTTTTAGGTAAGTTAAGTTGAGGTGAGCAAGGTTGGTGCGGTGATTTCAATTGTTGATGAAACGCAAGCTGAGGACTGAAGCACATGTGGATAAAAGAAATAAAACTTTAAACAATCAGAAACATTTTAAACAAATTTATGCGTCATGTGAACGTTGCCTTTACCTTGTTGATCTTTATTCTCGTTTTTTTTATGATTAAAACAGTTTCCAACCGAAAGATATTGAGCAATATGTTTGTAAAACAAGATGTCCTTTATGGCCCTTATATCGCTCACCTGAATACAAATACTTTAATACTAATATTGTAAACTATAAACGAAAGCAGGTATAAAATCTTAATCTTTAACTGATATCATAAATATGGTGGCATATTTCTGCCACCAGATATCCTGATAACTAACTAAATAATTAAGAGGTTAACTAGTTACATAACTAGTTAACCTGATACCTAACTAGTTAATTAAGAGGTTAACTAGTTACATAACTAGTTAACCTGATACCTAACTACTTAATTAAGAGGTTAACTAGTTACGTAACTAGTTAACCTGATACCTAACTACTTAATTAAGAGGTTAACTAGTTACGTAACTAGTTAACCTGATAACTAACTAGTTAATTAATAGGTTAACTAGTTACGTAACTAGTTAACCTCTTAATTGTCTAGTTAGTTATAAGGTTATCTGGTGGCAGAAATATGCCACCATACATAAAGTTCATATGTGTATCCTGGATGATATTGCTGCGTGAAAACAACGGTACAATAAGATGTCACGGTTTGCTATGAAAAATAAATGATCTCCTCAGAAGCCTGTGCTATGGAATTCAATACTTCAATCAAATTAAAGAGCTAGTCTATTTCATATAAGGACGTTATCTTAGTCTTTCATTGTGAGCAATTTTTATTTTCACAGAAAAAAACAAACAAAGAAACATACTGACGTCTGATTTTATGTTGCTGGTGTTTTCTTTTCAATTCTGTTTTAAATGTCAAAGACGCCGTGTATCACCTGACGCCGGGTATGACTTACCAGAAATAAATTCTGAATAGAATTGTAGAAATGGTTCTTTTCATAAATTGTTTTGTATCGAACTTTGTATTATTTCATCTTCAAATTAAAGTATAATTTTGAAACTATCAGAAAAATGGAATATATGTAAAATAATGTATACAAAGAAAAAAGAAAAGAAAAACAATGGCTTTGAAAAAAGTTAAGATTACTGTGGCAAAATAAGATAAGATAATTAAGATAAGTCTGTCCATCTTTCTTACAACTCAATCATTCACAGATGGATAAAAAAAATCACAGATATGTTGTACATCGACACACTGTGTGGCATGCGAAACCAAAGTTTGTAGCTCAAAAGTCAATGTCAAACTTAGTCTTAAAAAGAATGTTTTCATAAAAATACATTGTTCAACAATTTTGAAGAAAATTAGCGAGAATATTGTTATAATTGAACCAAAAATATTTGTAAGTGTCGCTTTTGTTTTCTCTTTCAATGCTTTGACGTCTTCTCATTTGCATATTTTCATTCATTTTATTCAATACATGTCTCGCCAATCGGAACATCCTCGGCTAATATCTATAATAACCTCGGAGTTGATACGGATGTGCAAGTATTTCTACTACGTACGTGGTTTCAGATGTTAACAGAAATAGAAAGTGTAATATTCGATAATGTCAAACGAATGTATACCGGTATATTAAACATCCAAACTAAGATAAAATCAGTTTCGGTACAATTGCATTTTGTAGTTTCGGATGATAAATATAAACAATGAAAATAATGTATTGTTTGCTTTTTTAACGATGAATTCGCTTACTTTACGTTGACATTTACTTGAATATTTGAAATAGACTTGAAATTGTAACTCCCAGCATTAAATTACTATTTGTATACATGTCTTGTTTCTTAGCGTAAGATAGACAAAAATACCGTATCGTTCTGTGTATGCATACTATTGTGTTCGAGGTCCTTATCCGAAGTCAGAAAGGACCGAAAAGTTGCGATTGCAGTCTCGCTAGATGTTTATCTTCATCCCAGTTTGATGTTTTTATAATAAAGTTTGTTTTTTTTCTTACCCGAATAAGACTTCGTCGGAGTTGTGCCCTTGTTAAGACAGTAATGGCGTTCCATAGATAAAGAAACTATTGTACTAATTTCTATATTGAAATGGTCATTAAAAAAAAACATATTACCCGCTGTGTAGTTGAAGGTCACGCCAAGATACATATAATTTAAATTGTACGATATCTTTTTAAAATCCACTACAAAAAAGTTTACATTTAACGCTTGAAAAGAGCATACAAATGTTATGGTAGTATACAGGGTCGAAGTCTTTACTATTTTGATGGAAAGTGTTCAATATACCATGACAAAAGCAACAAAATTATTGTACTTTAACGTTAATGCTTTTTTAAAACCAACGTTTACAATAATTTTGTATCAATTAACTGTTAAAGGATAACGTAAATATTTTTCAACGTATATTTTCTTATCAACTTCTATCTTATCATCATATCAAATTACAGAGAGTTTATTTTGTAAAACCGTAATAAAAATTTGTATTGTTCTCAGGCATGTTCCTTAAATCTCCGTCAGATCTTTTATTGGCATAAGGAAGTTCCCTTGCTGAAAATTTCACGTGTGTGATTCGCCACCTAATTATTATAATGATGAATAATGAGACCAATGATTGTAAAAAAGAAATTTTTAATGAAATGATATATGTAATTTATACAATACAATATTTTGTAGAAATTTGACACAGACAGTTTTGTTTTTCATATTTTGTACATCTATTTTGACAGTGTCATTTAAACGTTATTTAAAGATTTTTTATAAGTTTGTTTTCAAATGGGTATCATATAAGTTAAAAATAACTTCTATAAAATTAAATTACAAAATACTGAAAATACTGCCATGACTAATGAAATGTATGTAAGCGTCGCTTGTTTTCCGTTACAAGGTTTGTCGTCTGCTTCTTTACAATAGCACGCAGTTCCCAGATTCGCGATATCCGTGCAGTCAAGAAAGTTGGAATTCATTTCAACATCAGTTCCAATAGATACACTCCAGCACGAGCGTGTTACCAGCAACTGTCCTGTAATCAGAAATTTGGTGGTTGAAATACAGGGGATTTCCTCTTGAGTGGTGGAAACGGAAATAAGAGGAAACAGGGTGGTTCATGGGTAGAACAGCTATGTGTGGAGGATTCGAGTATCATAAGTGTTGCAAAATCTTAGAATGTTACAAAAATTCGCTATAAAGGAGATATAAATGAATGTAAATGAAAGATGAAAAATTTGAAACATGGGTAATCAAAAAAAAAAACGATAAAACCTGCAGGCTGGAAACAAACTAAGCTTTGCGCACTTGATTCAACATTTAAAGCAATGCTTTGTAATTCAACTAAGCTACTGACAGCAGATGTACTTGTGTCATAAGTACCTTTATTAGAATCTGTGGTGTCTATTTTCTTACAGGCAGCTTGGTACCCAGTACAGTTAACGACGTATTTTTCCGCTTCTTTATCAGAAAGTTCCCAAGTTTTCCCACACTTTGGTTCTTCTGCATTGGAACAACTGTAACACATTAAGCTGGTAACTGAAAACAAGACAAAATGCCAGTGATTTTTTTTCGAGACGTAGAAAACAATGTTTGCCTTCTGACCGGCAAAAGAGCCGAATACAAAGGTCGCCACAGGAAACAAATATTCAACACTCACTCGAGGCAATTGCACGTAGTTTTAACTTTGAAACAAGGAAAACAAATGGTTCTTTATTAGCGGAATTTCACTGAACCTTGGTTTTAAAAGTATTTATGAAAGATATTTTTAGTAAAAATTAATTTTAGTTGGGATTGAATAGAGTGGTGTGGGTCGAATTCGCTACCCCCGAATTTGTAGTAGACAATGTTACTACTGGACCATTACGCAACTCTGAGGAGACTTCACAAGGTCATGTACTTTATATCTCGGCGGCATTCACTAAATTATATCAGTTATCTGTACAAAAGAAGGACTTCTCTATATAAAGTTACGTTTGCAGAACGAGCATTTTGTTTTAAGCCATTTATCAGTTTATAGCCAAGATCTTTACGACACAATGATTTTGTGGTTAAATTTTTAATGTCGAGTCTCGCGTTCCATTGGGGTGATAGCGCGGATCGAAAATCAAATTATCTCGCTAAGTGCGGGTATGCATCTTGTTGTTTTGACATTTTCATTAAAAAAGAATTTCATTTTTGCACCCGAAATAGAAATTCTGAAATTGTACATGCGTAATCAGTTAGAGACGAGTGACAAACGAGATTCCTTGTCAGCCAAGTTTAACAAGAAACACACAGGAAGCAATTACTTTATTTAAAATTTCTATGGTTTTGCATACAGAACTTTAAAAAAAGGTGAGACTCGTTGATAATCGGAAGAATCATCTACGTTTTCATTTCACCAGACCGGACATATATATCCCTAGATTAACGCTCAAATTTAACAAGTCGATGTGGATATTGAAATTGAAAATTTTACAGCTACAAATATAAGACAATAAAAAAGCTTGATAATTAAAATCGATTATCAAAGTAAAAAAATAATTACCTTCTTGAAAAACAACGCATGCAACTACTGTTACCAAGAAAACGCTTCGTCCAAATTCCATTTTGCACTTTAAAATTGAAAATCAAATACAAAGTCCGGGTAAATCGGGTATAAATTCACCGAGTGACGAAAACCAGGTGAATATAACAACCGCGGACTATGTGTAATTACCGTGACGTATAGCGTGAGTTGACAGTGATGTGGGGCTTAACTTGTAACCAAATGCCCGTAATTGAGAGAGGAGAGTCTATTTTGTCTTGTTTATTAATGTCGTTTACATGGGACAATGGTTACAAAAAGAAAACAGCAAACAAATGTTGTAGTGTATACATTACTAGTTATAGTTAACAAATGGTTATATGATACAAAAATATGAAACTAACAGAAACAATATATCTTGCAAATTTAATACAATGTATATAAAGAATATTTGTTTCTTCAGTCTGGATTTAAACAACGTAGAGTATTTCCTTACGCAAGAAATCTGTCTTAACCCTTAACACACTAAACATCTTAAATGGACTTGTCGAACTTTCAGTCAGGACATGACCATTAATCATTTTAGGGAAAATTTTAAAATAAGTTTTGTTTTTGTTTGTTTGTTTGTTTGTTTCACTGTACTCCTTTTTCCAACAATATTTCAGCCATACAGGCGTTAAAATAAGTAGTGACTGCAGAAAAAAACAGGAGTGTCGTCTGGTCATGGTCTGCAATGCACCTTTTACTTTTTAAGCAATGCACACACTACCTGTCATGTGTCAAAAGTCATTACTCCATTTGTAAACTGATAAAACTATGATTATTGATATATAGCAACTTAAGTAATATTTTTCCAAAACAAAATGGTACTGAGTATCTCTGGTGTGTTTACAACAACAGTTTCAGTTATTCCAAAGTAAGACAGAACAATAAACTTAACCTCTATAGAGCAATACGTCTCTGCAACAATAAAAATATTTGTATTACAAAGGGCGTTGCACTACATAGTTATACTGTATTTAATTATAAACATTAACTCATTTTTACGTAAAATTCATTTTTTTTTTCAAAGTTAACATTTTGGAAGGTTTATTTGTACAAAAGGAAAGGTTATTCACCTACTCAAAAGTTCTTGAAAAAACTGGATGAATAATCGTTTCTGTGGTTAAAGATGTCAGAATGGTCATACTTGTGTGTCCGTTCGTATATGAAATAATGCGAGGTCTTCCTTCACCAGTGAAGCTGGAAATTTTACCGAGTCGATGGGACGAAAAAACCCAACGAATTAAAAAAGAGCTAGAAAGTAACTCAACCCCTACAACCCGTAAGGTTATCAAACAGGAGCATGTGTGGTTTGATTTAACTTAAGAAGCCTGGCCGCATTTTTTGTTGTAAGTAAACTTTGACTACATCTGTTATTAAGAACTCTCATCAGTAATTCACTTACATAAAATTGATTTTATAAGCCAGGAAAATTCTTTGTATAACGTAATATCAAATTCTTCTCCGGATAAGCATCTGTGACAATAACAATTACTTTGTTGCACGGGCAAATGCACTTAATCAGTTGCACAATTACTAGAACAGCTGTTCACCATCCCTAGACATGTTCCTCGGGTCACTCAACCAAACATAGTATGTGCCAGTTTTGCTTAATGTTAAGTGTTCAACATTCTTCGTGGATCTTCATACCTCACACTTTACACTGGCCAGATTCAACTCAGCACGTGTTAAACATATATTTGTTCATACCTCAGCTGTCGGTCCATGTAACCGGCTTTTCTGGAGAACCAATCAGTAATTGCCACAATTTCTCTGCAAGTGACCGACTACTAGTCCCAAAACATTTCTGAATCAGCGGTGTGAGACAAATGACCATAAGGTTCAATGTCCGAGGCCACAGAGGTTCGGACCAGAGACCTGTCGATTACAAATCTGATGCTCTCCCTATGGTGCTAAGCTGGCAGACTTAGTAATTTGGCAGTTACAAAATCGCCCTTTATTTGTCATTGTAGTTTTCAATCAGAGATTTATATTTCCGATCCTTTATGATCGTGTAATGCGACATGGTATTATATATTGGGTTTGTGGAATTTTAGTTCTTGAAAATTCATATTTTTCTCTCGCCAGATTCGAAAAAAGTTCCCTGCGTCTAAAATTTATGTGTGATATGTAGGCTTCAAAAAGTCCCGGGCCGGTTTCACTAACATTTTGTAAGTTTTTCGTAACTTTACGATTACGTTTAAACTTACGTAAATCGTGTGATTAACTAAACGTTCGTAACTTTTTTCTAAAACTTACGTTAAAATAGTTCGTAACCCTATAAGATTTATTCAATAGGGAGGCGTTTAGGAAATATTTGATAAAGTAAACTGATTTCTATCAGACAATCAAATCGGTGACCGCAAACCATTCAAAAGCTTAACTGGAATTTCGTAGGGTCAATTAGAGCAATTCGTATTTTTTAAGCGCATTTAAGTACGTTTGTGACATTTTGCTCATTTTTTTCACCGTTAAGTTGGGTTGAATCGACTTTTTTTAAAATATTGACTGTTACAACGGTCATTGACCAAGAGTTGATATTATATAAATAACACATGGGTTTGTGGGTAACAGTAAAAATATCATCCCGAGGAAAATACTGTTACCCGAGGCGTAGCCGAGGGTAACAGTATTTATACGAGGGATGATATTTTTACTGTTACCCATAAACCCATGTGTTATTTATTTTATTACCCCGAACAAATACTGTGATGATCTGAATTTGGCAACTAAATCTAACTGTAACAAAAATAAGCCAAGAGAAGCAATAACTAAACTGTCCTTAGACCTTACCTTGCAAGTTTTAAGTGCACTGTAGGCCTTTTTCTTTTATTCTTTAGGCAAGTGATGATATCTACCAGTCATAAACATAAAATAAGCTGTGTTTTATTCAGAAAACAAAACACTAACCCATTTATAAGGTTATGATCTGTGAAATCTGATCCTTCTGCATCCAGAATATTCTTCGAATGGTTTTTGACAAAGTGCATTTAGAAAATAACGATGATATCCTACAGATGTCTGTCCACCAACTCTATCTGTAACGTTTCACTGGTTAAAATTGTTAAATTATCCTTATTGTCTGCATGTTCCAGTTTGACACAATATTATTTACATTACAATTACTTCCGTTGAAAACGGATGTTTCCTGTTGACTATTAAACAAAAAGATATTTAATACGCGAAAGGGACTCTAGGTTGCAAAGAACTAAATTTTATCAGAGTAATAGTTACTTCGGCGATGCACTATCGTCGAAAATAAGAATGAATCGAGAAAAAAAATGGCGGCCATTTTATTTCATTTTATTTAGAAAATAGACCACGTGACCAGATTTTATACTGTTAAAAAATACTGTTACCTATGTAACAGTACAAAATTCGTAGTCACGTGGTACACTTGCATTAACAGTAAGAATAACTCCCAGAGGCATATGGGAAATTAGCATTACGAAAAAAGTGAGGGGTAATAATTGAAAATGTTAGGGTGTGTGCCTAAAATATAACAAGACTACCCCACACTTTTTAGATAGATATTTACAGAAATTCCCTTGAGCCACGTGAGTTATATATCGTTCAAGCAAAGTAAATTATAAAATTGAAAGGGGTAATGACAAAATGTAATTTTATTTTTTACTTTCACCTGTTCACTTACTATATAACCTCAGATGGGCATAATGTCACTTTAAACGGCACCTGGTTCCCATTAAAGAATATCTTTTTATTCTTTAGATTTATTCTTGCTGTGATTATTTTTTCGTTTTGTCTCGTGGAATGGTACAAAAGTACGCCTATTACACCCAGTGCTCCGGAAACGCATCTGCGGATGATTTTAAATTATACACCATTTCCGAGTTAAAATGTTTAATTCTACGTTAGTCGGTGCCAGTGGACAAGGTCGTAGCTTGTATTTACGAACAGGCTCAATGACAGCGAGCCTGTAGCAGTTCCAAGTACTTTCATTCGGTATGGTTAATTTCATATTTTCTGTACTATAACTTAAAAAAGGTAAAACTGTTGACATAGAGACCCATTATGTCCTAAGATGGTTCTATTTTTATATGTCAAAAGTTTTATTTTTATTTTTGGTGTTATATTATACATGTAGTTTCCAAAAAGTTACTCATTAGCAACCACCCTGAACCTTATTTTTCTTCTGCTGCTGTTCAGCAATTATAGTACAGTTTTAATGATTAGTATTTTGTATAGAAGTCAAACTACTACTTTGTTTACATTTTGCTACTTTTATGACAAATATTTTCACCTTCAGCGCTCAATTGGTCAAGTGATAAGCACCTAGCATGAACTAAAACAATCATTTAAATGCTATAAATTTCATGTATGTGCCTTCTTAAGGAAGGATTTTTTTTTCGTTTCTGAGGCAAAATGTTCCTTAAGTTTATGCTCTATATACATAAAAATGTAGTACATTGTTAAGCAACGTTGAAAATGTAACCTGACAACAATAATGTTTTTCATTGAATTCAATTATTTAAAAAATAGTCTTTGATGAGTGTAAGGGTATTGTTATACACGTTATTGTCGGATCCTTTTAAAATAAAGCCGTTGATATTTACAAATATGTTACTCGTGACGACATTTTTTAGTCTATAGTTTATATGTTATTTTCTTCTAAAATTTTCCTCGCCTGATATATGACAAAAATTGCGGAACACGTTTGAATGCTGTTGTAGCAATATTTAATTCAGTTTTGTTTATTTTGTTAAAATATCTATTTACTGAATGACATTATATTTTAAGAGCTCTTCGGTCAATTCTTAGGTAACTAACCTTTGGAATTGTGTGGTTTTAGATGCAGAGCTGCGCTGTATATTCTTTATATTCTGTATGGCATCTACAATGTGTTACTTGTAACATCTTGTGAAAGAGAATAGAATCCCGGGTAACCAAGTTTATATGGTTCACCGGAATGTGCATCAGTTAACAAGATATGTTAGTTTCCGCTAAAATATGTTGATTTAACTCCTATATTGAGGACGGTATTGAACGGTAAGTTTTACAATTTTGAGTTATGTTTTGTAAAACCATACTTTATGAAAAACACACATAACACAAAGTCTTGTTCTTCCAGTTCCTTGGAAATCACTAATGGGTGAAAGTAGTAATTAATTGTCAAAATACATAACGTGATCCATATGTGGATATGTGTTCCATATCCTGCATTGAATTAAAT